GCTGCCTCTGCCTCTCCAGGCACCATTTCTGTACACTCCGGCCTCCACCGCGACAAAACTACCCATTTTAACCCCTCACGCAGCTCTGAGCCCCAGCTACGAGGCTGTAGCCCTCCTGGAATACCAAGAAAGCCTCAATGGAGGGAAGTGAGAAGTACAAATGCTCAAAATCAAAAGGATTCGTCCGCTGTAAATTAGGCTAATTGCAAATTTTGTTAAATGAGAGCTTTCCGTTAGCAAGCGAAGCGTTAACATCGGCTTCTCCTCACTCCCATCTCCCTTGAAAAGAACAGAAACTGAATTTCCACAGCAGCTGACAGATGACTCAGCTCCATAAAGAGGTCTCTGCTGTATCAGCAATTTAATTTCTGCCGACTCCTCCAGACATCAGCCAATGAACCCCTGGTGCCTTCAGCACGCTCGGTGTCAGGAAAGGCCCCTAAACAACCGAGAACATTCAAGGTGTCCCGAACCGAGCGTAAAGGATTCATTCTTGGGACTGTTTGAGAAACTTCCACCATGTTATTAGATGCTATTGTTACAGAAAACGTTAAGGCACGCCACTGTTAAGCTGTAACAGAACTGTAAGGTCCATTCTACTGCCATGAGCAGTCACTGGAAACTCAGAAGAGGAAGAAAGCGACGCTGTAGGACGCGTTTCGTGGTGAAGAGCACTAGTGGGCTCCTCTCTTTCTGGTCACCAGCCTCAGACCCTGAGATGGACACCAGAAATTCAAACCCTAACAGGGTATCCACGCAGAGAGGGGGGATTCCTTCTAATTCCACACTCCAGTCAGCCAGTCAAGCTACTGGAAACTGCACCTGATAGTATCTGCCCTGTGAATGCTACTGGAAGAAGCTCAGAAGTGTTACTTTGCTGAGGAAAATTTGGCATAGAGTCATAAATCACTAACTTCCAAACTCACACTGATGTCACAGGGAAAACTGCAAAAACATGAGCTTCAAAAGAACACGGGTGTCCCCTCTGCCAGGATGGTGTGTGCCACCAGGAGGAAAGCAAACTCAAGAGCCAGTCAGGGCTTCCCACCGAACCAACCACCACAAAACGCACACGTGGGAAGAAAACCTGGAATTTTGGGACACGGTGGAATCCTTAATTAGCCCACAAGGTGTTAAAACAGCTTAGAGCAAAGACTACATTTTATGCAAGCACTGCTATAGAACAGCAAAAACGTGTTTGGGTTGGGAAAAGGAGATGGGCCAGCTTTGGTTTTGTCACCTGAGGAAGAAGCAACGTTTCCCATACAGCCAGCAAGAGCAGCTCCCTGTGTACTGCCCTGGAGTAGAAGTGAATATTGGCTTCCCTGTTTCAGCTAGGAAAAGAATCATCATCAGAGATTAAAACAAAGAGCAGGTCACTGAGGGTGAAGGATGTTTTCCTCTGATGAGGCTCAAGGTACATTCTCCAGTTCTCAATATGCCCCGCACATCATCTTAGAATATAAAATAAATTCAGGTCATTTTCACCTGCCCCCTAGGAGTATAAAAAGTACATTGGGTTTTTGAAATGATACTCTTAGAATTAGCTACACATTTAAGTACACTTCCATAATTGATGTTAGTTTTCAAATCAAACCTAATAATCTGTTTTCCAGATCACACTTTTCTGTAGCACTTGAGTCACAGGCTACCAACGCTGGATATATGAGTTCACACCACAGATCCAGAGGTTACTTGATAGAGTTGAAGCTCATGGGGAAGAAAAAAACCAAAACCCTGCCAAACCTTGTCTGATGAACAGTTACACGGAATCACCTCAAAAACTGAAAGCAGAAGTGGATAGAGAAACTGGGCATAAACCTCTCTGAGCAAACTGGTCCACACCCCTTTGTGTTCTCACACGGTAGCAACCACACCAAGAAATAACCAGCCACTAGAACAGTTTCTAATTTTTATCATTTTTTTGTTGGTGGCATTACTGAGCCCAAACACTGCGATTATAACATTTAATTCCTGTGTTGTTGGTTCTTTTTTTTTTTTAATGCAATTAAGATGTCTAATTCAACTGGTTTTATATTACAGTAGCTGTTCACATAAATAGTACAGATATGCACTGCTCTTGACAGGTACACAGTCACAAAAGCAGCTCGTATTTAGTTTGCCCTCTGTGTGATGGGGGTTGTATGAAAAGCATTCTTGATTCCTAAGCATGATACAATTTTAATTCTTACTGTGTTAGTACAACGGTGCCTTGGAAAAGTACTGAGCTCCTACAAAAAAAAAAAAAAGCTTTACAATTTTAAAACAGATTGTTGTTGTTGTCGTTGGAGTTTTTATTTCAACAAGCAGAGGCAATTCTTATATTTCCACAACAAGATAAATATCCCAGTTAAGCTAACAGCTCGTCCTACAGCGTGCCATAGTGATGGGGAAAGGGCTAACGTTAGTGTTATTTACAGACATGTCCGATATTAACCCAGCATGGAAATTAAAAGTATGCTCAAGTGTGCAATTAAGTTCGTATTATTTTTTTTTTTCAGAGAGTTGGATTTCTTGCAAAAAATTCCTCTACGAGTTGTGACTTCGCCAAGAACTCCTCATAAGCAGAATCTTGAGGACAAAATGGTTATGGGGCTGGGGGGGGGGAAAGAACTGAATAATTCTCTTCAGAAAGCAAAAAAGAAATAAAATACTGAAGTGGGCAGATGTCTTTGGACAAGTGAAATTTAACATCCCAACTGACTAAGATCTCGAAAGCCCTAATTAAAGAAATTTTCCAATTGTAAAAGCTTGAATCCAGGGGGAAAAAAAACGCTTTTAGGAGGGAAGATTCACTCCGAGTCCTTACTATACACTGAGGCACCACTCAAAAAGTGGCCATAAAGGAAGTGACTTCTTTGCCCATCACTATCGCACCAGCTGCCGGGGCACCGATCCGGATCTCCTCTAGACAACGCTCTCCCTGTTCCCAGAGGCTAAGACTGCCCTGCGGCAGATGGGGCAGGTGGAATTCTCCGATAGCCAGCGGTCAATGCAGTGGACGTGGTACTCGTGAGAACAAGGCAGTTTACGGAGCTTGTTGCCTTCCGTGTACTCTGTGATGCACACGCTACAGGTTTTCAGAGCATCGCTCTCACCAAAATTCCTCATGGCTAGGTTGTCAATTTGTTCTTTGGTGAGTCCTCTCGGTTGGTCGTCGTCGTCTTCGTTTAGTAGGAAAAATTGTGCTAGGCTAAGGAATGGTAGAGAACCGCTTTCTTCGAAGGTGACCGAGCCCCTCATGTTCCGGCCTTCCCGCCGGGCGCCGGAGGTGGAGCCGCCCTCGTGCCCACCTTCGTACCCCTCCCCTGGGCTGACCTCCGTGCTCT